CGAGTAGGCGAAGAGGCACACGTCCCGAAAGCCATTGGTGCCTGCTCCAAGGGGATACTGGGTTTAGGGTTTAGGGTTTAGGGTTTAGGGGTTTGGGGTTTAGGGTTTAGGGTTGATGATATAAATCCTGCAATACCCTTCGGACCCTAGACTAGGGGAATTCTGGTAGATTCCTTAATGTGGCTAATGCAGGCTTCATGTCATCAACCGTGCTTCCGGAACGCCGGGGCCCCTTTTGAGCTTCGCTTTAAGCTTAGGGTCAAACCGGGCTCGACCTTTCTGGGTGTAGAGTTGCCGATCTGTGGAAGCTGTAGGGTCTATCTCTAGTCTCCGTTGTAGTTCCCTTTTGGGGGTTACCTTATAGGTTCCCTAATATTTAACGTGGTTAAACCAAAAAAGGAACTACAACGGAGACTATAGGTAGAGCTGCTGGCGCAAGCGCTTAGGTGCGCGTCTTGTTATGGGCGAACGGCGTCGAATCACTGAGCCGATGTAATATGGTTGCCGGAAAACAAGCAGTAGAGGTCCGAAACTCTACCCAAGAACCCCACGTCCTACTTTGTCCTGTTTTACAATCCTAAACTCCTTTTGAATCAAAAGTGTCCTCTTATTCGGAGAGTCCTAACTCTGAAAACCCTACACCCTAAACCCTAAATGTTGAAATCCCTGCGAGGTGCGGTTGGCTGATGCCCCGTGGACGGTCGCAGAAGGGTAGAGGAGGACACTGCCACGGGGCATGGTTGCCAGCACGCAGTCCTCCTGGTAGGGTCTAGGGTTTAGGGAGTTGGGGACGGCTTACCTGGACCCTTAAGAACCTCCCTTTCTAGATTTCCTTATTATGCTTTCCTTACACAAGTCCTTGAAAAGGTAGGTTCTTTGGGGGTTTAGGTAGGGTTTGGGGTCCAGTGCTTCGGGAGGGTTGGGGACGGTTTGGGGTTTCGGGTTTCGGGGAGTTGGGGGTTTAAAGGTTCAGTGCTGCGTGTTCGCATCTCTCACTGACTTTATTTTAAAGTCCAAGGTCCGTGGTTTGACTGCCAGAAGCCACAGAACCCCAAACTACCTGCACAGGCTCACGGCTCCTCACTGGGCGTCCAGCCAACCTCCTGCTCTTGCGCCCGTGTTCTCTTCAGTGTCATGTCGAGATTCACATCCTCGCGCCTTGGGTGAATGAGGGAGGGAAGCGAAATCCCAAACTGCAGCCCAACGCCCAGTCGGGTAGTCTGGGCACGACTTTTCATCATATCCACGCCAGAACAGATCTGGAACCCTTGAAGCTGACATCCTACGAAGCCCCATAGTGTAGAAGTTGCAAGCTCCCGACTCTTTTGGGCTTTAGGGTTTAGGCTTTCCGTTCAAAGGCCCCGACTCTAACCCTCCTAAAGCTTGAACCCTAGCATCCCAACTTACACAAGATATAAACTCTCTAAACCAGAAAACCTAAAGGCCCAATGTATGTAAGAGACAAGAGCAAGGCGCAAATGCGATCCGGGAATCACCCTCGTGGCGCCATTCATCTCGGTACCTACCATGAGCTCTTCCGAAAGGCCGACAATCCAAGTTGCGCTTGGGTTTAATAGGGTTTAGGGTGTGGGGTTTGGCAATTTAGGGCTAGGGCGGCTAGGGCTTAGTAGGGTTTAGGGTTTGGGGCTTTCGTCGGTGTACACAGAGCTCAGCCGTAGTCCCGCGACCAGTCCGTGACCCTTAGCAAAGAAGTTATAAACCCTAAACCCTAACCTCAAACAAAAGCCCCAGCCAGCTTTCACAACCCCAAGAAGCAGAAAAAAAACTTGACACATGGGTAGTGCTCTAAATTAGGGTCCCGTTTTGGGTCCCCTATATAGTACGGCACCCTTCTAATAAGGACCCCTAAAAGAGACCCTAGTTTAGAGAACTACCTACATTAAAGGCCAAACCCCCAGGTTCATGTCATAGGAAAGGTGCAATCCGACAAAGCCCAAAGCGCCGCCACGCCCCACTGCGCCCCGGGGAAGTAGCCTGGTTTGAGCTGCGAATACGGCTTGGGTTTAGGCCCAGACCCCCCAACTACCCTCCATTATACCGTAAATACCCACTAATAAGGACCATAAGGGATATGCATTAAAGGCTACTCTCGGGGTCTTGAGGGTTTAGGGTTTAGGGTTTGGGTTTAGGGTTCAGTCATAGGGGTTAGGGTTCAGGGTTTGGGTTTAGGGTTTAGGGTTTAGGGTTGAGGGCTTGGGTTTAGGGCTCATAAGGTTTAGGGTTTAGGATTCAGGGTTTGGGTTGGGAATTTAGGGCCATTTAGGTTGCGCGTGAGCTTAGACTTTGGTTAGTCTGTGGGTGCTTGTGGCCTGTAGGCTAGGTGCTGCGATGTGATCATGCCAATGAATTTGCAGAGTTGCCGACAGATTGAAAGCTTTGTGAAGCTGGTGAAAGAGGCGATAATCCAGGCACAGGCCCAGGGTTTACGGCTACCCAAGTTTGACTGCTGAAAGCTTTCGTAGCTCCAGGGCATACAAGACCCTCTAAAAAACCAAAGCGGAGGTTTTTATTTGGCGCTCAGGTAGGACGCATCTCGTGTCGGGCCTGGTTCACCGCGACCGGGCTTCAGATCCATGGCAGGGACGCTGTGCCGATCTTGATGCAGGGGCTGCTTGCCCTCCCCTGCAGCCAAGGCTAAGAAGGGCTCGATGGGCTTCTAGTAGGTAGTATTATTAGGGGTACCCCTTATAGGGCACCCCTTCTGAACCCTACTTTTGGCTCTCTTAAAAGGGACCTTATTTAGAGGGTCTATAGCCCCAAGGGTCCCCCTAATCCTAGCTCCCATCTAGAGCAATATAGGGGCCTTGATGATTAGAATACGGTTTGGGGACCCATTATACTGAAACTATAATAAGGAACACCCAAAAATAGTATTGGTAATTATATAGGCCCCTATGTTAGATCCTAAACCCTATAAAACTTCAAAGCCTAAAGTCCTAAAGCTCCTTGCGCACGTGCTTCTTCGTCTCCATTCCGATTCAAAGGGATGCAACACATACTGTTGATAATATAAAGTCAGGACAAACCATGGGAATTATGGTATATTCCTTATTATGGGTAGTGCAGGGTTTATATCATCAACCGTAGTTTGGGGGCTTTCCAGGGCTTACGTCCATGAAGACTTGAGGGCCCGGTGCCATCAAGTCCCACGCTAACCTGCAGCCCGACAAACAATCATTCCCTTACCTGGACCCTCAAATGTGGTACCTTTGTTGGGTTACCTTAGCTTCTTATGTATAGGATCCTAACCATAGAATAAGAATAAGTCATCCAAAAAACGGTACTACATTCAAGGGTCTAGGTAGGGTCCATGTACCCAAATCGTATAGATACTTTGGCCTTCAAGTAGTCCCTATATAGGTACTTTGGGGCCAAAGCATATACAATTTGGGCACATGGACCCTTAGGGATCGCCTTTGAACTACCCGACCCCAACCCTGAACCAACCAAACTTGCCACCCCGGATCTGCGTCGCTGAAGTAATCCGAGATTGTTCCAGTTTTTCAGACAGATGGATTCTGAGGCTGAGGGTTTGGGGCTTGGGGCTTCGGATTTAGGGTTTCGGGCCCCTCAACCCTGAAAATGGGCCAGGATTTATGATTCAGGGGCGGGTGCCGGACCCTTGAGTGTGTCTCTAAGCAATAGGGCTGCACTCTATCGGCAGTTCCCATCCGGGTAATGTGGGGGTGTTGAGAATTAGCAGATGGTTTCAGGGGGCTCCTTATGATAATTATAGTAGACTATACACCCAAACCATATATTCTAATCATTAAGGCCCCTATATTCTCCATTTCATGCCCTAGTCTCCTGGACACAGGCGCCGGAACATGCCGATGTGCAGCTGGATGCGCTCGCAGTAGGGCGCCAGCAGTGCCTCCGCGACGCTGAGCACCGTGGGGTGCGCAGCCAGGTCGCAGATACTCGGGGCTTTACCGAGGACCTCAGCAAAAAAAGGAACACAGGGGTTAGGGTTTGGGGTTTAGGGTTTAGGGCTCAGAGATTTTGCAGAAAGGTTCGATTCTGAGGTTCCGGGTGGCTCTGTGAACACAACACTAATCTTAGTTGCTGAGTTCATAAGCCACCAAAACGCGTACTCTTTCAGCTTTATGGTGGGTAATACTATCCCAAAACGTGCAAAATGTATCCACTCAGCCACTAAGTAATGAAAGTTCAGGGTTTGGGGTGCACCGCAGCCAAGCTGTGCAAGCTCCGCATGTGTTGGGGTATGTACCCAGAGAACCCAATATTCCTTAATTACGGAATATACCTTGAATCATAATATCAAGGACCCCATAATTTAAGGTCTATTCCTGAATTAAGGAATATACCTTAAACCATAACATTAAGGACCCTATAATTTAAGGTCTATTCCTTAATTAAGGGGTATTGGGTTCTCTGGGTAGGGGTGACGCTCTCCGCAAGGTGGTGCTGTGCCCCCGTTGAGCCTAGGAGCGCTGGCTCGTAGGGTTTGGGGTTTAGGGGTGTAAGGGTTTAAGGGTTTAGGGGTGTAAGGGTTTAG